GTCTAGGCTTCTGGCTTGAAAGTGAAATTGAGGACTAGAGTTACATTTATCTATCTTTTTAACCTGGCATGCAACCATTTTCTCAAGCCTAAACTCCGCCACAGCCTGAGACTTCTTCTGTATATGACATGTGGCTATAGGTGGTATGACCACAATGAGTTATTTGACTTTGCAAACTCAACCTTGAACTAAGACCCAGCTACTAAAGACAGTAAAATCTTGTCCTTCATTACCTACTCTGGACCCTGACTTAATTCAGTTCTGCTGCGTAACTATTTCTGCCCATAATTTTATGTCTTCAGAAAACACTGATTAAGGGTAAGCTGAATATGTTTTTTTTATGTACTTAGAAAAATGATGTTAGGAGACATATCACCAGCACTCTAACAGTATCAAGCAGTGTGTTTATTAGGATTGTCTCAGACCTCCTTGGTAAAGTCAACTGGAAGGGCCACAGAGAACAACAAACTTTTACAGTTTTCAGCTTCATGGAATAATCTGAAATGTAATATAGATTTAAGAGGAAAAACACAAATCACATACTGTGCTAAAACAAACATGTGAAAATTTTATCGTGAGGATGTGGTCTTAAATGTGCATAGGCTAGTGTAGTGCCTGTCTGCTGTTCTTGCTAAAAGAATGATCTAATGTTACTAGATTGTCGTTATAAGACGCTTAATCCCCAGAGTGAGGAACAGGAAGAATATTCACAAGTTTCAATGCTATTTACTAATTGCCAATTGACTTGAGGAAAGCTAAAAAATGACTGGAAACATCCATCCCCGTCCTGATACACACACATACTAATAATGGAAATGGCAGCCAAGACAAACAGCTAGCAGTGCAGTGCATCCTGTTGGCATCGTATTTTTGGCACTGTTGTAGCTACACAGAAAACAAGTGATACAAGAAATGTGTAAGGACATCTGTTCTGTAACCTATGGGGCTTCACTCACAAAACAGTTGTAAAATCGTCTGGGGGAGAGAAAAAATTCTCTATATCTGTGCAGATGCTCTATTGTAAGAAAAATATCAATGGAAGGAAGTGTTGAGCCTTTAAAAGAGGAAATTGTTCACCAGATTCAGTGTCAAATGTTCCATTCTTTTCTTTCCTTTTCATTTAACCTAAGTTATCTGCCATTCACAAGTTATATTTAATCCAAGTGGTGTAAATCTGTTGGGACTAATAGAATTGAATCATGGATTAAATTAGCCTGGTGTCTGCTTGTAAGTCTTCTTCGCTGCAGATTACTTGGGCTCTGTGTCACTCTGCTGAATATTCAGGTCACAGCCTCTCAGCTACCAGCTTCCTTCCTGAATCCAGCATCTTCATGTCTGTCTAGGGGCACAACGGGGAGAGGAGAAACATTAAGGACATCTATTAAGGTCCAAAGTATTGTTTACTTACCAGCTTCTCTCAGCTTTGCTGATCCTTCCAAATGTAAGCAGGCTATAGGAGAAAGAAAAGGGGGAGTTTTTAAGACACTGCAAGGCTCTCCCTACCGTCTGTCTACTGCCCTTCAGTCACATCCCATGAATGGACTTTTCAAAAAAGAAAGAAACTTTCCCAAAATTCAAATGTTGGGAAATAAGTAGTTGGGAAATAAGTTTCAGAAGTTGAGGTATAAGTAGTTAGGCTTCCCCCACAGGTATCTTATGGAGAGAAAGACATGGTTCCATGAAAAAGAAATCAGATCTCATATAAACCTGGAACACATTAGGAAACTGGAATATAAAGAGGGACTGTGAGGTGTAGGAGGTTGGGAGGACTTGGGGAAGGAAAGTTTAGCTCTGGGAGCTGGGAGCAGCTGGGGGACCTGGGTGGGAGAGCATTTAGGAGAAGGAAAAAGTAGGGGTCTGGGTAGGGGGAAATTTGTGAAGAAGTAGAGGTGGTGACCTCTGCTGTAAAAGAAGTCAGAGCTCTGGGGTGGATAGTAGGGAGGGAAAGACCAGGGGCACTGGAGTGTCTTGGGAAAGATGTGGGACTGAAGCAGAAGATGCGGGGAGTGGGGACTCGGTAAAGCATGAGCTTTTGAAGAGATCATTGTCTTCCAGAGCAGCAAAGGTGAGAAGCCTAGGGATGAGGGATGGTGTAAAGGGCTGGCTTTTCAACAGTGCTCACACAAACACCCTGACACCTCTACTTGGAAGATCAAGGATACAGGTACACGACTGCTTTCCTGCCACTTCTCCCCTCTGATATTTGGGTTTAGAAATACAATACATATGAAATCTTATCTTTTATATCACATTTCAGTTTGGGAAGGGCATGGCTTGAAGCACAGTGAGAAATGAGACTGCACCATGTTACAAGCATTAGGATTTGGATGTTGTGTTGGTATTAAACATGCTTATCATTAAACACCTTGAATCATGCCTTCATTTTATATGTTTCCTCTAACTTCCATATTTACTTCCTTGACACCCATGTAGTAATGATCCACGCTTACAGGCAGAGTTCATTCTTTTATATTGTAGTACTTGTTCCCTTGCTGTTAGAAGGGAAGAGATGCCCTCATGATCTGTTTCTATTGAGATGGTGCCTAATACTCCTCCAGTAAGTTCCAAAGCAGTTTTTCTGGAAAGCAGCCCTGAAAGTTGCTCTGTAATTTATGTGGTATGCCTTGCAATAGCCAGTTCTATGAGTAAAACAGTAGTAACAGATGTACTCATATTCAGAGCAATTCTAGAAAGGCATTAGGAAGATTGGGTTGTTCTAATTAATCTCTTGATGATTTGGGGATTTAATTGACCATGGATCAAGATCAGACTGTTCTGCGTATCATATGATCAACCTGTGATCTAATCTTGAATGAAATATTACTTGGCTCTACTTCCTACCAGCTATGATCAGGGCCTTTTTGTCCAAGCCACTGTACAAACAAATAACCTGAATGAACAGTCCTTCCACAAGTTTACAATTCACACATCTGACCCAGAAGCTAACAATGGATATAAAAAAGTAAAGGAGGTTCAAAAACAGATGAGGTAGCAGTTAACCTGTATAGGAAGAAAAGATGTCTCAGCTTCCTTCTCTCCTTGCAGTGCTACCTGGTAATGGTTTTTGATTTACCATACATAAGAAGAAAGGACATCCTGATTGTTTTGCTAATGTGCAACAAGAAAAATGCGTATGAGAAGACAGGAGATTCTTGTTCCTACCATTTAATTGTTTGGTTTTCATGTTGCTAACCTATGACCAACTAAATAGTACAAGAGAGAAGCAGTCCTGTGCAAGGAAGCACAGGAGCCCAAATCGCTCCCCTTCCTCGCATGATAAGTAATGCTTGCATTGTAGTGAAAAGGACCCCAGGGAGACAAGAGACAAATTGGGATGAAGAAATGTGTTGGGTTACTGGAACAGAGAAGTTGAGAGGAGAGTAGATGGAAACTCTTGTTGCCGCTTGCTGGGAGAAATTATTTGGGTTCAACAATGATTTTGCTGTGCAGTCAAGATCAAGGATGGAAAGGCAGATGCTGATTAGAGCTTATAGGGGTTGAGAATGCACATTTAAATTACAAGGGACACTATGAGGTGGTAGAGAAAGAGCTATCTTATAAAAAATGTGAATATATCAAAATGTCAAGAAAACCAGAAGAAATGACGAAAGGGAAAATTCATTCACTGGGGAATTCAATGGGTGATAAAAGTGAAAGATCCTGTAATGGGAGAAGTTGTAATTGAGGTGAAGCTGAGGCTCAGCCCTTAGCCATAGCATGGAAAGAGGATAAAAAGAAATATGTGGGCAGCAGAGATTTTAAGATGAAGGGGAAAATTAATGTCAATGGACAAGAAGAAGGAGCAAGTAGAGAGCAGGTTATCTGTCAGATACAGGGGGCCCAGAACACATGATAGAGTGGATGGGCAAGTAACAGTGACAATCTGAGGTTTACCAAGACACTTCATAAAATGTTTAGCTTTTTATTTGTTTGCTAGGGCAAGAAACATGAAACTTCTGACTAGAAAGATTCCACCTTCATGCATTATGGGTGGGAGTACCTTGTACAGCCTTCTGAAGCTTTAGCAGCTAGTCATTACTATAGACAAATTTGGGATACATAGTCTTTTATTTTTATTTACTTTTGTGCTGTTATTCTTCTCACCAAAATACACATTGTCTAATAATATTTAAGTTGTATAAACATACCTTTCAAGCGAAGGAGCTGTTGAGACAATCCAGGCAAAGAATTAGTATGAAAGCAAATCTAGTACTTCATTACAATGGCAGCTCTTGTTCCAGAGTCCCTGCTCTCTGAGAGGAATGGGAAATGAAGATACATGGATTCTTTCTGACCCAACAATTAAGAAGAGAGCAACTTCCAGTTTTCTAAACAGCAGTTGTTGCCTCACTGTGAAGAACAGTGCTGTAGGGCCTGCAGTCGGTTCCAGTGTTTGATATGTTACCTTAGGTGACAGTGTTTGTGAAAAGTTACCTTTTTTCCCCCTGTGATTAGTTCTTAGGTGGGAATAATTAAAGAGAAAAATCCATTTTTCAGTTCTGCTTTCCATTTTACCTTCAAGACAGAATTGACCTCAAGTGTTTTATTGCGCTGGGTGTGTTTTCAAAGTCAGCCATGTGGTGTCTGAGAATTTCATAATTGACCTTTGCTAAATTAATTACAAAAAATCATTTGTCTTTTACCAAAGCAGTTAGAGGGGAGAGAAGAACAGTTCTGAGTCCTAAAGCAGGACTCACGAAGATGAGAGAGAAGTTGGTCAATAAAGAACGCACTTGCACAGAAAAATGTCAGCTGAAAATTGATCATTCTTCTATTGCTGATGCTTCATAACCATCCCATATTGGCTCACTCTGTTTAGCACACTTCACTACCTATGTATAAGACATCAATCTGCTGTGTTGTTTGAAATCCAGCCTTGGAGTGTCAGTAGTGTCCTGCTGACCCTCTTGCTATTGCTCACACCTTCTGCAATCATCTACAAGACAAGAGTCCATAGGAGCTCCAGAAAGCGTGAGCTCTGGGAAAGCACATGGGGAAGCTGGAGAGACTTTACAGGCCAGAGAGGCAAGAATCCTAAAAGTATATCACGTTCTTCATATAGGTGATGAAGCTTGCATTAACAAAAAATGGAAGTCACTCATATACCCAGGAAGACAACATCCTCAAACCCATGCACAAGCACAGCTGTTTATCATGGAGCTGTTACGTACCCACTCTGTTAGCTCTGTAGCCTAAATGGCTTAAATATACAGGAAATTCTTTAAATCTAGACTATCAAAATACACACCTTCCTTCATTTGGTGTTAATAGAGTTGTGTCAGTGGTTTTTTTGACAACTCACTTTTTCTTTAGGCAGCGTTAAGTGCCTTGAAACAGTTTTCAGAACAAGGACTGGATCCAGTGGAAGGGACTATGAAAGTTGAAAATGGATCACATGAAAAGTAAGTACCATTTAAATCCTCTGCATTTTAATGCCTGTGTGTTGTGGTAGATAAGAAATGTTAATTAAGAGCTTGGTTGCCCTTTTAAACCTGTGCAAAACTATTTCCTCTGGAATTTATGTACAGTTTGTGACAATTTGAGAGGATAAACGAGATTTCAGGTTTAGCATTACTGATAGTGTTTACTAATGAGCTATGAGACAGTCAGTCCTCCTACGGAAATCCTAAAGAAAAGGATTTTGTTTTCACTGTATGGATTCTGTGTAAGTAGCATAACATGATTTTTGTCAAATATGTTGGAGCACATGATATTGCCTGTAAATAAGGATATCTGTCTGCCAATAAGCCCTTATGTCTGCAAGATGAACTTTACCCTAGAGAATTTGAAAGCTGAAGTTTCTTTCAGGTCTTCAAAAGCTCTTATATGGCATATTAGCTTTAAGTAGTAGCCAATAGAACCAGGTTTCATGCTGGATTTTCAATTATTTAAGAAAGTGGGATTGTCTGTCCAGTATAGATTTTTTATTCCAGCTGCTAGTCTGTTTACGTAAGAAGGTAGTCTTGTGTTACTAAATAAATTAGGAAGTAATAGAATAAAAGAAAGAAGACAAAAAGTGGCATTTGGAATTTTCAATAGATATATTGTGGCTATTTATAAACTAATTTAATCAGGAACATTTTTCCATATGATCTCATCAGTATAGTATTTGAACATAAATATTGTTGCTTCACTTTAAAATGTTACCTTCCACAGTGACCTTTGAATCTCATGTGCCATCTGCTAATAAACATGTCTTAAAGATGTGCAACCCTGGACCTTACCACTCTTGTTAATGTATTAATCTTTCAGACAAGTCAAGCATCTGGGAGAGAAAGCAGACAATAAACAGACTAACTCAGGCACCATTGCTCAGGACTGCAAGGATTCAAAGGCTGTCGTCTAAGAGCTTCCCAGCACCCACGGCTGCCACTGCATCCTTATAAACCTGTCAACACGCAATAGGGTGTATGTGTACAAGGAAATGAATGACTAATACCATTATTTGAGTCTTATGTGAAGACAACGCTATTCTAACACAAGAGATAGTATACATGGTACTGTTTATTCAACTGTGGAAAAAAATAAAATTGAACATTTCCCTTAAAACTTGAGATCAGAGCATAACTCAATTGCCCAGAGGCAGAAGGAGTCTGATCATGTTACTGGAGGTTAAAATAACAACTAATTAACAAAAAGTGTTAGAAAAAAAAAGGGAAACTTTAAAATTGATTAATATTGAGGAAAACAAGTCAGCATTGGTTCAGTTATACAATTTTTTCGTAGTGTAGTTTTAAGTTCAGCTTACTGTTTTTTAAATAACGCTTGAATATTTTAAAATTAACCAATGACAGTGCTGTGAGAATTGTAGTTGTTGTCTTCATATATAGTCATACAGCTTACCTTTTTATGCAGACATTATGCATTCATCATTCTATATGAATATGTATGACTTTAAGATGCACTACTCGGAGTTGTATGCAAACAGAAGTTTAAATCATGACAAGTATTTGCTTAACATGAACAGATGTTAGTTATGATCAGTCTTGATATACTCCAGGAAAAAAACAGATATGGTATTTGATTTTCCTTGCCATAATCAACTAAAGAGGCGTCTTGCCTCCAAGCAAAATTTTCCCCTTCAATTCTGCTCTGTTGTGTGAAGCACATCTACACCCCATTCTGTGTGTTGTATCAACCCACCGTTTGCATCAACTGAGTGTTTTTAATCTCTGCATTCGGACCAAGAGCAAAAGGTAGGACTTGCAACGTTATCAAGCCAAGGATGGAAAACTGTTGATGTAAAGATCATTCTTTGTGAAAGGAGTGGCAGCAGAGATAAGACCTGTGGCTGCTCTGTAGCAGCATATTTCTTTTAAGTGTGTGGCCAAATGCAGTAAAACCACATCAGTTCATGTGTACAATAACAGTGTCGTCTCTTTCTTTATCATTCACAGGTAGACAACTAGAGAATGAAGTTAAAGAAAACCAATTACAAAGTAATGAATAACTGGCTACCATGCCAAAGCCAGGGTTCAACCTACCTTTCCCCATGCCACCATCTTCTACAAACTTACAAGTTAGACGAATCATCCTGGCTTTTAAGTCATTTATTTATCCAAAATACAGATATTTTATTCTATGAAAACCTAATGAAATAAACGCATAAAGCTTCTACCAACTGCATAACAGTCATGACAAAATTGCACAAGATTTTAGAAGCATGTAAACCAGGGATCACAACCCAAGTGACTCACTCAGGAAAGCAGACAAACAGCAATGTAAGGAAAAGGTGCAAGGTGCAGTGACATTGATTCACCTCTGGGACAGGCTTTCAGGCTAGCATGCATCATGCTTTTACAGAATCAGTGGTCACTAAAAATTTGGAGTCCTTTTTTCTGCTTCATGTTTCTCATGAGTAGAATTCACTCTCCCTCCAGCAGATGAGGAGCCTTCGTGCTAAAAAGTTTGCAGTTTTCTAGGGTTCGACTCCATAAAAGAGTCACGAACAAGCTGAACCTTTCACTTCCCACAGAACTGGGAGATTTCCAGAGGCACTTGGCACCTGGCACTGATGTTACTCAGGTAGCAACGTACAAAAATAATTAGCTCTTGAACACCATCTTTCTCATGGATATATTACCTGCCTAACTGGCAACCGGAGCAGAAATTCTACTGCTCCTTCACCTCAGCAGCCAGCTCAGAGAGCTCAGAAACAGGCTCAGTCTGTGCTTTAGCAGTACCTGCCAGTATGCAGAATACAAATGGCATTACTGCCCCCTCCCATGGAGAACAAGAACAAAAGAAAGAGGCAAACCCATTCCTTGACAACTCTGTCCTAAGGGCAAGAGGCTGAGCTTGCTGAGGAGAATGTGACAAGGACACTGGCAGTATGGTCTCCCTGGCATTAACAGAACCTCCATGGTGTGTTCCCTGTCCCGTCACTACAGAGAAAACCCTTTGTACTGGTTTGCTCAGGAGCTCAAGGTACAGCTTGATACTTGGTGCCATTCTCTAGGCACAGCCACAAAAATGTGCCCAGTAAACTTCAGATTAGTTGCTTTGTTGCAGGTGGCCTCTTGCCTCGAGTGCCACGCTTGCTCCAGTGCATGTGGAGAACTGCAAAGTGATGCTCGCCTCACTCTAAATGAGCAAATTGCAACCAAATGCATGCAACCAGCTGTCTAGGCCCAAGAGGCTCATTCAGCCCCTCCAGTCAAGACAACAGTAAAGAAAGATCATCTCTATGAAACTGTTGTCATCTCAGGTCCTCTTGCTGGTCAGAAGCATGCTTGATTCTGACTCTGACAAAAAACAAGGCAAGTAACTGAGTTGGGGACTCACTCTTTTTTCTCAGAACTATAGAAACATGAAGCAGATTGGGGGAGGAGGGTCATATAGTAGCAGGATTCCTAACTATTTTCCAAATGCAGCGTTGACTAATAACTGTCATAATCACAAGTCAGAAAGTTCTGTGCAGCCTGAGGTAAAGTGCACACAGGTGGCAGTTTTAAAGCACCTCCCAAGCCACAGGTTAAAAGCCTCACTGAAGAGGCTCCAATGAAGGCTAAGACAGACCTTTCCTGGCATAAATCTGAAGAAAGAGTTCCTGCTCCCTACAGGTATGGATGGGATCACAGAGACCTCAGTATGGAGCTCATCAGGATACCACACCTGAACTCTGCGATGCCATTTTGATGTCACTAAGGCACTCCAAGGCTCCTGTCTCAATGAAGAGGTTTTGGTTTGTTCACCTGCATGTCATGCATGAGAAATTTCTCAAAGTCCTGCAGTATTCACACACACATACACAGAAATGCAGTTTAAATGTAGTTTGGCATTATCACTAGCAACCTCCTGAGAGCCTGGGGAAAATTCTTGTACCAAAGATGTTGCAGCAGCCAGTGGACTTGTCTCCGATCTTCAGTTTTGTTGGTCCACAACACTTCCTCTTAGTTCCTGAGCTGGCAGCATCTGAAAGCTGCTGGGGAGGACTTAAGTCCAATGATCTAAACCCCACTTTATTTTGCTTGAGTAACCTGATTTTTTTTCTGATTTTGCTTCCTGAAATTAGATAAGAATTTGTAAATAGGGCCACGTGGAACAGAGCAAGCTTTATGTTTACTTTTGTTTAATAATTAGCTAATGATGGACACTGGAAGAGTATCAGTATGTTTGAATGTTATTATTCTAAAAGGGTTGAGTTTACTTTTCTGACAGCAGTTAATATTTTTTTTTTAATATTTATTTTTTAGATTGTACCTTCTTTGAGGTAGAGACTTTGTCAAACTTCTGTTTGCAAAGCACCAAGAATAGTTTAGTTCCCTGTTTAGCATGTATCCCACACCTCTCATCTTGGATCTCAGAGCACTTTCAAAGATGAGCAAATGCCATATTTTACAGATGTGGTGCAAACTGGTGCTTAGGAATAAGGAACAAGGCTTTAGGATAGGCAGTCTCTCTATCTAGCAGACTACTGAGGTGAACACTGTGTTGAACTCTTTAAAGACTCAGAACCCAAATTGTCATCAGTTCTGGACCTATAACACTCATTAATAGGGAGGAATTATGCTAAAGAGAAATTAGGACCCTCAGGTATCCTCCCAGAAAATCTTCTCAACACCTTCTGGGGGTCAGTGAACTAAGAACTTGCACAGGAAAAGGCTCATCACTGAGTGAATGGGCTTATCTGATATGACTCGAAGGACAAGAATTTGCCTCGTTAATTTTATATCTAAGTTATCATCTCCAATTGCACACTGGCCTGTCAACAGCTCAGCACACTCTGGAAGTTTCTGTTCTCACACTGACACATGTAGCACTGATTTCCAAAGGGACAGATGTGCTGCTTCCAGCCAATGCAAAATGCAGCAGCATTGGGGCCGTAGATCTGGAGAAGAGGGTGCAGATTTCTGTCCCCAGCCATCCCAGCGTTCACCTTCCATTTACAGTGGAAATTAATTTACCCCTCAGCTAGAGTCCCCACTGAATTCAAGAGAGAATAATGCCAGCATATTTCTCCTGATGGAAGTCATAGTCATAGGTTTTAAAAGATTTAACACTCAGCAGCAACATTTTTAAAGGGTCTTTGGATAACGAGTAAAGAGGAACCTCAGTAGTTCTTGTTCTCTCTGCCATCTCTCCCCTCTGAAGCATGAGGAAAGGGCTGAGCCACAACAGATTTTAAAAATCAGTAGGGGAGTAGTCGGGATGAATGACTGCAGAAATATGGAATCTCCTCCTCCTTGGCCTGAAGCAACAATGAAATCGAATCCTTCCTAAAGTGTATGCAAAGCCCTTGATCTCTCTGACAGTACTTTACTACATGCATTTTATTGGTGGGTGGCTGCTTGTTGTTGTTCTCATCTCCCTGTCCTGCTCCAATTCCCCACGAACAGCAGAAAGTTTCCCATTTCCTGCAGCAAGAGTTGAGCAAAAATTTAAAGCTGGATTTGTTCTCCAGTTAATAGACAGAGGGTTGGTTTTTTGTTTGTTTCAAAACACCATGTAAGAAAAATATACTTAGTAAAATCTCTTCATCCTCTCCCAGAAACATCCAGCATTTCCCCACTCTCGGTTGCACCCCATAAGCAGGTAACATTTTATTTGCTCAAGTCAGAATGGCCTTTGCAACCCCTAAGAAAAATCAGCAGAGGGTGGAAGGTTATTCTGAATGATGGTGAAGGCAGGGACTACGTCAGAGCCCTGAATACAACATTGCGTGATGATTTTGTGTGCTTTGAAGGGACATTGTTCTGTGACTGGTGGGAACGGATAGTGACTGTCCACCAGCCTTCCAGCTCAAACATGGCAAGTTATCTGCACTGAGCAATAGTGTTCAGCGCCTGTATTTGGTGTAACTCCCCGAGAACATCTCCAGAAGAGCTGGAAGGAGAGAGGCATGTCCTGAGTGACAGCTTGTTCTGCCTTTCCCTCCCCACAGCCGATGAACCTCAAGCTGAAGGGGTAAGGTACCATCAGGATGAGGCACAGGGAAATGCAGCTTCCCCTCTGGGTATTTACCTCTCGTGCAGGTCCCTTTCTGTTTGTAACTGCATTCCTGGGGCGTTACGTGAGCTGAGCAATGTGTACATCGGTAGATGAGATGTGTATGAAGTGTTTTGGTGGTATGATTTCTATTATTCCACATGAATGGCACTGGCTTTCGTTTTTGATCATACAGCTTGTTATTTGTTTTATGCGGTTAGTCATGGTTGGCTGTGCACTTTTGTGCTTGGTGTTTTAACTCCGTAGCACTTCAGTACAAAGGAAATTTTAAAAAAACAATGAAAATGTTTCTAATCTGTTCTTAATTAAATAGACCTCAATAATTGATTTATGAGAAGAGGGAAAGCAAAACAGAGTGGTTGCTAGCCTGAAAATATAACTTATTTAAGGGCCAAACTTTCCTTTATTTACAATAACCAGGATCTAGGGGAGCCTGGATACCCATGAAGTTTTATCTGACAGCACACAATAAATGAGAGGAAAATTAACCTGGAATAAATAGTTTATGCCTCTCACTGCAATATATTAAAAAATATCTTTGTGCATTAAAAAAGATCACCTAAGCCTGCTTATTTATTTTTGTTTGTGATTATATGTGCAGCATAGATTTTCTTTTTTATAAGCCACTGGTACCTGTTAAAAATGTTCAAGGGCAATAATAATAAAGTCAATGTAGTCTAATTCCCTGTTTTAAAATGGCCTGTTTCCACCCTCCCCCCCCACCCCCAATTCACTGTAGTTGAACTGCACTGAAGATAGATTTTGTGTTTTTTAATTTATTTAGGTTTAAAGATAGGAGGTCTTCACATGTGGTTCAAAGCAAAGACATATTTATATATGGCAGGGAAAAAGAAATCAAAATGTGACATCCATCTGTGGTGCAAAAATTGAATTACCTATTGCCTAAAATATA